CAATGACAAAATCCAAGCTGCCAGCAACGGCAGGCTTTTGGAGGTCCGTTTTTGTATTGGCTCGTTGCTTGGTTAGATTTACAGCAGGATTAATGAGTGCAGTTACAGATAATTCCATCAAAATAAAGCTGGCCTCCTTTCACACAAATATCCTCCGCACAGAATGCTGCAGAGGGCAACTGTCGCAAGCTGCACTCTAGCCGAGTACATGCAAGCAAGTCTTTGGATCCAGAGTTTATGGCTTCGAGCACATTGCGGCAGCTGCGCTGGAGAAAAAAACATGGTGCAACGCGGCTCAGAACATTGAGTAGAATGCGCTGCCCGGCACGTGGAAATCAGTTAAAATTGACGGTGACAGTGCAGACATTGAGACACTGCCACCCGGACCACGCAGCCTCCACATCTCAGGAAAGCTGCTTGCTTGACTTGGCTGGAATGTTCTCCTGCTTCATCATGACCAGCGCGAGACCATGGGGCCCGATGATCTTCTCTGTGGGATTGAATCGCATGCTGAAAAGCATCTTGATCGTCTGCAGAGGTGCGCAAACCTTGTTCACGGAGATAGCAATCGGCTCGACCTGCACAAAACACCGTGGGTGCGCCATTTCAAGAGATGTGCTCACAACTCAACCAAACTGGCCTTGTCCACGGCCATGAGTCCCGGACCCGCATTCTCAAGATTCCTTGGACAGGTGCACTCTGGGAACCTTTTGTATCCCCAGATCCCACACGTTCCGGGGATCTTCTTCACCAGCTGGCTGACAGTGACGACCCCGTGTTGTTCGTGAAAGACTGCCGTGGAGCCATCGAGTTTGTACTCCTAAGTGTCGTGGGCCGCCCGTGAACTAAAAGACAGAGCTGCTAAGTGCTAAAAGTTGCCCGGTGCTCGAAAGCATCGGCACAATTGACAATGCTTCAAGGGAGCGACAGTGACAATGAAAACTCGAATATTTCCGCCGAGAAACAATGGCAGTTGGCGGGATTTCCGCCCCACGCAGCATCTGACCGGTAGTGAACGCCTTCAGGAGCAACCCCTTGCTGAGCCTGCGTGGTTTCTCAGCCGTGCTGTCAACATGGATCGTCTTCTCACCTTCCAAATAGAACTCCGCGGGTGGGTCCATGAGCTTGACAATGGAGATTTTGGACTTTGGATCCCCAACCCCTTGCCCGGTGGGAGTTGGCACGGGCGGCGCCACGGACGGCGGCACTGGCGGTGTCGGCCTTGGGTATTTCGGAATGCAAGAAGCCATCTATCAAACTCCACATCACATACCAGATATCTTTAAAGCA